GCGTAACACGAAAGTTGCACTGCTGAGGTACTTTAAACATTTTTATTAAATGAAAAAAACTCGCACTATGGAAAAGCTATTAACATTTAAACTCTCACTGGTCACACCACATGTTAGAGGGCACTCTACATCGCAGAGCTGAGTGCGCAGCCTCGTGCTGGTTAAAATGATTGAAAGGCCGATAATCTACTCATAACAACGAGCTATGTAACTGCTAACCAGTGAACTCAGCCAGGTTGACAACTTACGTCTCCCTAAATGGGGATCTCAAAACAAAACTACTCGGCCTTAATAAAACTTGCAGACACGAATCAAAGACACAATAAGTGAAATTCTGGCTTCAATCCATTGCCGTCATTGAATAGCTGTCTAACCTACCGTAACTCTCAGAGCAATACCCAACACGAAGTGACTGATTATGTCATCGCCTTCAGTATTGGGGTACGTCACCTACGCCGTTTTATTATCCGACAAGCAAACCCTTAGAAACGAGGTTAATATTGGCACATGGTCCATGGCTGATGAGGTGAATTGATACTATCCAGTTTTTTTTTAATTTGCGCCAGAATGGGCGACAATTTACGCGTTGCATACCGTTAGGAAAGCCTGGCGCAATAACTTGACACCTGTAAAAACTGCCTACTTTTAGCTGGAAATCTAGTAATGAACCTTAAATAGTTAAATCATCCAACATGGTATTATTGACAGCGATATTTGTGGTACCTTGTGTCTTGACTAGTGAACTAGCTGGCTTGGTCCAGCTAGTCTTGTTATCTTTAAAGCTGCACTCTATCAAGGTGTACAGCGACACCGAAAATACGGCACGTTATATCTATCGGACGACGTCGTCTGTGAATCAACCAGAGCATAAATTTATGAATACAAGACCAGTAAGCATCCAACAAGGCAGGAACGACAGTGTACTGGACTGGTGGAGGACAATATCCAAGTGAATTGCGCAAATTTCAAGTTGATTAAGGTGTAGGAATTTGAATGCACGTTTTGGAGATTCTTTTTACGATAAATATAGGGGAGTTTCTGGTTTACGAAACAGTTAGGAACTGTGGAGTTTGAAGGCAGTCAGATGTAACTCATGACTTGCTAGCGTGCTTGAACGTTGGGCATCTAAATCAGGATTTTCACAAGATTTAGCAAAGGGAATGATCTTCAGTAGCTTGATAAAACAGCACATTGCGCACACAATGATCTGAAATGACGGCTGTACCTTGTGAATATGTCTTCATTAAATAGCACGAAGCTTTTGTTCAGACCCGAACAGATCTCTTGAGGTAATTGGTGTGGCTGTTTTCTCAGCATGCTATCCAAATAGCCAAAACTTAACCAACTACGCATGAGTATCTTGTAATTTGAATCATAGAAACTCTGATGATGAATTATGTTCTCTACCAATCATAGAAACTCTGATGATGAATTATGTTATCTACCAGTTGGCGCCTAAATACGTTACAAGGTGAAGTGAAGCATGATTAGATTTATCCTTCACCTTGCAATAAGTTTGGGCTGACAGGCTATTCAGCTTTCCCGGGGGACTCAAAAGGAATATACCTTCGCCCTTCGTCGAAGGGCGCAGTAAAGAAGAATAACTAATTTTTCCGTCCTTTTTTCTCCGAAATCAAATATGAAACAGATTCGTTGTTTAGTAACTTTTTCCAGCTCCCATGCCATATAGTCGTCTCAGAATCAGACTTTTAGAAAAGATGTTAACTTGGTCCCAAACCATAGTCAATAACCTGTTGTCCGCTTTTTCAGTCGCATTGAACTACACCAATAGACCCTAGTTCAAAGTGGGCAGTGACGAATGAGGTTTCCGCTCTGCCGCCTGTGTGACCAGCTAAACAATTAGCTATCGGGTTAACCCTGTGGGAATAAGACCAAAAAGCGGACAGGACGGACAGCTTCGAAGTCATCAGAATACAAGGCGTGGCCGGCTGATAGCAATTCATAACGTATATCCACGGTAACGGAAGTCACCTCTTCAATCATGTGCGCAAAATTTCCAGACGTTCTGTGGCATTTTATTCCGTTGTGTTCTCCATATTTCACTTCGCATGATTATTCTGAATGCCGATAATGAAGAATTTTAGATAGTGTCATTCGAATCCACCCAGTAGAGAATAGTGATATCGGAAGGTATAGGGAATTTACAGCTAGGGCCCACATTGCGTGACTCCTCAATAAGAATTCTTGCAGTAACTTATTCTTGCTATTTCGTGTGTAAATGGGGCAAGACGGCGTGATATTCTACATTCGACAGAGATGTGGCATGTTTACAAAGTTTACGAAGAATACTGGGTAGACAGTGCTACTATCGTCTGCTAGTTGTAGTCAATCCATCTAAGAGAATAATGGGCAAATAAACAGCAGGGTTCTGAGGTACCCCTAAGCATTGCCGTCTATATCCAGAGTGGATAATTCGCTGAGTTAACAAGTGCCCAGAGGATTTCTGTTCAATTGTTGTAAGTGGAGATTCTCGAGATCATAGAAAAGTCGCTTGCCACAATGATAGATCCAGTAACATCATGCACCTGAAGTAAGTGGAATCGACAATGACCAGTTTATTACACGTGCGACTAAGCAAAAGACAAAAATATCAGTCTGTATCTTATGAAAATTCTGGTAGTTTAATGACCGACAACCCGCATATAAATTTGGACCACAAAAATATGTTGCACAGTAGGGAAATTTTTCTACATAGGTTTAACGGGCAAAAGAGAACCACATTTACAGGTATCCATTCTTTTTCATTTTCAAGCCATCGCACGTTTAATGAGGCCATTCAGTTTGTCATCACTAGCAAATATTATCTATGAACCGTGTGGGATGTTTCTAACTGGCGGGTAAATGATAGTAAATGACAGATGTGGAATGTATAGTTATCCGTTGGATTAGCTAACCATAAAAACAAAATTTGATCTTATTTATGGCCTTTGACTAAAATGGAATCACAACCACACACTATTTCTGTAATATTTAAAAATGCTGAGTATAAACTGTTTCAACAAGCATAACTAGTACAGACTGCATCCCTGTCGTCTGGTGGATTCTGTAAGCAAAGTAACTTGCCTATATAACCCCCTTCCAAATTTAGTTATTCGTAAGACATCTTATTCAGTACTTATTATTCACTGAAACAGGATTAGAAGACTGTCAGTAGGATGCTTGCAAATATTTGCTGAATTTCAAAGGGTTAATATGCAACTGGCTTGTTCAACAACTTTTTATGCATGCCGCCTAATGAGTATTAATGCAAATGACAACTAAATAGAAGGTACAAGATCGGTGGGGCAAAGTGCTTGTTGACATTTTACACTTATCCAGCAAGATTACTTTCCTATCCACCTGTGAATTTTACCAGTCCACGACGAACAGCCGAAAAGCCTGGTAGGACGGGTTCAACCTCATTCGAAGTAGCCTAGATTAGGCACCTAGTAAGACTGCAGGGAACTTTGGACCCTCAACTTCCCAGCAACTAGTCACCTAGTAAGACTGCAGGGAACTTTGGACACTCAACTTCCCAGCTACTAGTGAAAGGGAAAAGCCTTCGCTGCGGGGTTATTTACTCGGAAATGCCAACTGACTGGTTACAGACCATTGAACAAGGAAGCAAAACTCTAATCTGCATCTTAGTTACAAAAACTGGACACATCTTCTCCCGAACGAGTACTCCTGGCGATTCGTTGCCTCCAATCATTCGTCGGTCAAATGAAAGCAAATGTTAAAAAGTGGCCCCGCGAATTCCGCAACAGAATTCTATTTTTCAATTGACGCAAAGCGAAATTCTACGAACAACACATACTACTCGCGTGCCTCCCCATCAGTAATATCACCGTTATACTAGTAGTATGAACATTTATCCTTTCGACATCAAGCAGCGTAAGTAACTCACGCTTAGACAAGATATAACGGCAGTGATCCATCAATCACGGAATACACCTCACGGGCTTACTTGTTAATTGCCCCCCTATGGCGACAATTTTTCACATGAAGGTTTCATATTTCCCGCAAATAATTCTTCCTCTTGAGCTATTCATCTTCCCGTTCTTGCAGATATCACACGGTTCACTCAAAGCTGGAGTCCATAGCACGTACACAGGCATACATGGTATAACTGCCTGAGTGTAAGCGCATTTCTAGGCACCCGATTAAATTGAAAAACGGTTTGAAGTGCTCAAACTTGAGTACATAGGTGATCATCAGCAAAGACACGGTACACCTTGAAATCAGCAGATCCAACATGCAGTACAACAATGCCATTAGCTTGAGTGGCTTTACAGACGATTTGGGAAGTTTTGCCTAGTATAATGCCTCTCTTGGAAAAACTGGACAGAGTTTAAAACTCATCCAGAGCAAAAACGCCATGTTCCGCGCCATTCATCATCTTTAGAAATTTCCCACGGTTAGAGGAATAAATAGGAAATTTTACCCTGATGCATTCTGGTCTACATAATAAGCAAGAAAACTTGAATGCTCAGCAAATACCTAGGAAGCGCACCCAAATTACCCGTATTTTCTCACAAACGTTTGCACCCTTAGTTTGCTCAACAGACAAGCTATAATGTTCCAGACAATGTTTAAAATGGAATGAAATTTTACTAAATCATAGCCGAATCTCCCGTTAGCCCTATAAAGCAACTAGTAGTTTAAATCTAACCGGTTTCAGTCTGTCTTATTTACATCCGGATATATGTAGACGGTTTGAAAAGTCAGCTCTCTATGAATTGTAGTCGAAAGTATCTATAAAAATTAGTCTACACGCCAGTTGTTTTTGTCCATAATTTGTCATGTGTAAGCAAAACGGATTCAGCTAGGGGAGATTTGCACTGATATTGGAAGTTAATTTTTGCTTCCAATAAATTTAATTTGGTTTCAAATTTGTGCATTTACCTAGCAATGGTGCTTGCATTCATTTGCTGTTAAATAAATTCAACGAAAAAATGCAACCAGGCTGTGGCCAACTGACGAAGACTGCCAAGACTTACGGTATCCGAGTATTTCATTGACGCAACAGCAATCGATAGACTGGCCGCCACAACTGAGGCGGCATAGAGGAAGCAGATTGCCTGACGGTCATTTTGCCTGGCAACGAAATTAAATGCGCTAAATCAGACAAATAATTAAATTTTGCAGCTCAGCTGCAGTTACTTTTCCAGTCACATTTTCTATAAAGTAGAAATGCAAAAGTATTCACTGGTACGTAAACAAGGAATTATATTTCGGTCGTACAGTTTGCAAATAGCCATAATCACCTGCAGATGCATAAGAATTTGCCAAAAGCGTCTAACTTGCCCCTTTGACTTGCACTGTACTTCGGTGATATCGGCTACATTAGGCTTACCATAGGCCCGCAAAACGCGGACGCACTATCGTCATCCTTTTAAGTTCCTCTTCAACAAAACATGGCGAGCTACAACTCATTATGTCTTCGTTACTCTTTCAACTATATCCAGAGGACACCACAACAAACCTCACCAAACTGGTAATGGAGGTATTCGAAGGATTTATTAGCTATAGTAACTCCATCATTACCTTGGATAGGAAAAAGTGTATTTCGCAGATATCGTCCAGGGCTTTGTTTTTTAAATTGAAAAACCTCAGATTTCTAAAAGGCTCGTACACCATTACATTGTTAATGGCTTACTTGCGGGAACTCTCTGGCATGAAATTTGACACAAATTCTCTGAGCGGCGAAAACCATATGAATAATTCCGTCCAACATTATAGTTGCGGTTTTGATAACTGTCAACGGTGGTTTAATAATGGATTTGAAACGAAGAAAATGCCACGTGGGAATTGAAACGTCACCTCCAAAAAGATGTTTATTGACGTTTGTCCTTAATATGCGCGCCTTATCTTGGCCAAGTACTGAAATGGGTATCGTCCATTGTGATAACCTTCGTGATAATAAAGCTCTGTTGGTTATCGTATTTTCCATTTAAATTTTCCTATATTATATCCGTTCGCGAGTAATAGGTTCTGGAAACCCTTTCAGTTTTCATGTGTTTCAGCACTAGCAAAGTCTCAAGTATAGTTTAGGAGCATCCTAAATGAACAACGTTCACTGATTTGTTCGTTAAACGTAAAGCCGGCACTGAAAACAGAAAAATTGGGAATATGTCCCTAAAAGAACGCTTGTTATGGTGCCTAAAAAGCAACAGTATTCCGGTTATAGATACACAAGGAATAAAATGCACCATCAATCCCAAGTAAAAAGTAAAAATCGTGTATTTAAAAACCATTCGAAATATCTGCATTATTTTGGCTGCGGGGTGATTATATTGCAGTATATGTGATGTAACGTTTGCCGCACAACGCAACCAATACGGTGCCAGTGAAGCATGATATTTGGCAAGCTACCCTTACAAACGCATATTAACACCAAAATCTTGATCTTCATTCTTCTGATAAGTATGGAACCGTTCTCAGCTAGGAGTTAGGTAATTTTTTTGTAAATAAGTGTACGTAAATCAGTATGTAAATAAGTGCATATATGTTTGATGAGTCTGAAGTACAGTTGACATAATGCCTTTTCTTTGGTCGACACCATTTGCAACGTTGTTGCAGCTGTTGGACCACCTACAATCAATTCTTTTGGCCACGGTAGTTCTCAAGTTTCCAGTCTTCAACAACCTTCTGTTTTACTTCAACACCAAGTTCCAACTCTAAAGTTCAGGTAGAGTAGGCATCTTTAGAGCTGCTTCTCGTACATTTTAACAGAAAGTAAAATATTTTTTTAGGAAAAAACTGTCTACATGTGGGGAAATCACAAGGGGCAATGACCTCGTCGGCTTTGGCCAAAACTATTTACGCTCACGTAAACTTCATACGTGTTTTTACCTATCTTATGTTCTGGGCTTGGGATAGTCACATTAAATCAATGAATGTGACCGCGGTACACGGCATCCATTCTCTTAGATTACTGAGCCGTGATTTTTTTCCCTAGAGAATGGGTGTACATGACTTTACAGGCATGAAGATCGGGGCTGCCTGCTGGAGGGACATCCAGAAAAAACGGAACGAACAGACCTATTTACATATGTAGAATTTTGATAAGAAATATGTTAACCAAATACGCAGCATGCTTACTCGGCAACGGTTAAAAAGTTGTTTCCAAAACCGGATGGTGTTGTGTAAAGTGTTACTTGCGTAAATAGTTTACATGTTTCGGATATGGTATTCTGTAGATTAACTATTCGTTGGTCACAAAAATACAGATGCATTGGAGGGATAAGTGCACCTGTGTTTACATTCCACTTTCAAGGACAAAGTGCACATCTGAAAAATTAATTTGGAATGTGAAAATGGTGATTATAAAATTGTAACTGGACACTATAATCCAATAAAAAATGACACCCATTCCCCGGCATGGGGAAGTAATCAGATCACTACATTTACGCCATTGAATTATACTTTATGCAACGCTGACTCAATAAAGCAAGGCTGAGCTCTTGGAAAGATTAATTGAGCAAGCTGCAAGATAGGCCTGTGGATAGTGCTCATAATAATAGCGGCCATAACGCAGATTTTGGAGGAAATCTAGAGCCAAACAGAGGTTGGAAATGTTCAAATTTTATTTGCATATTTCAACGGAAAGTCTATTATTGATTTCATTCAAAAGATCACTTTAACTGTTGTCGGCTGCATACGAACTGAATCAAAATCTAAATGCATTCATTTACCCGGATAAATGGCCTAAGAACATTACACAATGGGCTTAAAACCATGCAGCTACTTAAATGGATGCTTAGAATGTGTACCATGATGGCTTCACAAATGATAATCTATTTCACGCCAGCCATATATCACAGCTTTACAGAACGGCTAGCGGTCTGTTTCTGTTTAGCTAGGATTCCCGATGTGTGGTATGACTCACACAATGTACTTCGCCACATTCTGACTCAAAGCGAAACACTTAAGTGACATTTTGGTTGCTAGGACCAAGCATCTGGCAGAGGCAAAACAACTTCGTCAATCAGTATTGCCAAATTCCTGTACTGGAATTTCAGATATTTTGGCACGAATATCCGCTGGTTTAACTCGCGCAGCCCTGCTTTGGAGAGCTCACAACTGTTGCACAACTAATCGGTTAGTCACTTTCTTTATTCGTACCCACGATGATTTCCAACAAATACAGGGACTTAACGTCAATGGTCGTTTGAGAACGGTTCACGTAAATCCTGATAGCTTCTGTTTCAATCCACTAACCAATGACTCGTCGGTTTCATTAAATTCAAACAACTAATTAGAAGATATCCGAGCAAAAGTGTTTATCTGGTCTTAACGAAATCAAAAACTGGTCACAAACTCCTTGATGCGAACAGCTTTCGAAATTCAATCGTCAGTTTTGATACACATCAGCTGACCGACTGGTGCATTCTGGTCAAATTTATGGCTTCTCGTAGTGAACTGGACTTATGGGCGTAGTGCATTATGGCTTGTTCTGCGAAGATTTCAGGTAACGTCAATGAGTGAAATATTATTTAGCCGGGAATAATAATGCCATTGTTATAAACTTGCTTCCCTTTCAGGTAAGATGTAGTTCAATACGTAAGCAGTGAATCTTAATATTCTTAACGCTAACTTTTTTCAATTCTTTTCCTGGCCTATGCGGCTCATTTGGTGAAACCTACAAGAAGATATCGCTTGGTGGTTGCTAAATATAGCCATAATCCAGTCATGCTGCATTAACCTTAGTGTGTTCTGCTCATTCTTGTGTAAAACAGTGTGCTTTCTGTCAATTCTTCACCGCATTAAGCTCAAACAGTGGAATTTGTTACACGTGAATCATCTATTTGTGTGAATCCCTCATTCAGTCCAGAAAAACAGAGCATTTTATATTAGTGTACTGATAGATATATTTACACCCGTAAACATTACAGGAGATCTAAAATAAATGACAGTCGCAGTATTTCATTGATTACTTCATCCATCCTTTTCTGGTAATAATTTTACCGTTAATTTTGCGTCCATTTGGGAACCGGTGGACGCTTCTTTTCATCACCGATATCCACTCAAGTGCGTTGTGGTTTTTGCGCATGATTTGTGGGGACAATTTAGTTCCTTTACGTTGTCCCGCGCTTACCGATGGAGTTGCATTTGAACAATGATCCGTCAATAATGCTCGAGAGACTTGATCATGAACGGTGAAGTGAAGCGGCAACCACTACGAACGCTGCCTCACGAAGGCTTTTGACAAGCCGCTCTATTGTTATTTTTTGCGGCATGAGGTGGATGGATAGCAAAAAAGGTTAGGCAGTTGCCTCATTTGTTTCCGGCATTCATTTAAGCTTTCATCCAGGTTTAACAATACCACATAATCAAACCCATTTGTATACTCAAGAATAAGACAGTAAATTTGAAACTTAACCATATCTTTGTTAAACTATTTTGTAAGTCATCCCTTGAAATAATATAGAAAATACACTGGTGCTATTGTTCAGCCGTGGATAACGAATTAAAACAGGTATCTTGTCAACTAAAAGTCTCTCATAGTATTTCTGTGCTAACTCTAATTAAATGCAGATATTTTCTCTTGATTTCTAGGCAGTGTGGTTTTCAGGTAACTTGTGAAATTTTTGCAAACTGTGCGAGGCCGCTTACTTTCTTTTGGCATGGAAGTCCATATGCACTTACAATGGATACAATGGAAAATTAGTTTGATACCGATTCTATTGCGATGTTATAATATTAAAACAATGTAACCCGCGAACCACCATAAGATCAATAACGACACTCCACATTTTTGATAGGTCTAAACTGTAGAAGGTTGCTGTGAATTATCCTTGATCCAAAATCCACATGTGTCTGAAGAAAGTCATGAAGTTTAAAATAAAGTCATCGAGTTACAAGTAAAGATGAGGTCTTGAAGTGTATCCCGAAAGTCTATCTCACAAACCTTTGTTTTAAGAGTAAAATGAGGCTGTCTATCCGTTATACTTTATGTATGCAACAAATATACCTACGTATGGATCGCTCGGCTCAACAGTGCCTGGTGGTAGTATCTGCAAACCAATAGAAATTCACGCACAACCGATAGTCAGTGAGATACGTTTACACATAGGTGGTGCCACATTCTGGCAATTATTCTGTGTCCTGTTCTG